GAGGAGGAGAAAGAAAGGGAGGAGGAGAAAGAAAGGGAGGAGGAGAAAGAAAGGGAGGAGGAGAAAGAAAGGGAGGAGGAGAAAGAAAGGGAGGAGGAGAAAGAAAGGGAGGAGGAGAAAGAAAGGGAGGAGGAGAAAGAAAGGGAGGAGGAGAAAGAAAGGGAGGAGGAGAAAGAAAGGGAGGAGGAGAAAGAAAGGGAGGAGGAGAAAGAAAGGGAGGAGGAGAAAGAAAGGGAGGAGGAGAAAGAAAGGGAGGAGGAGAAAGAAAGGGAGGAGGAGAAAGAAAGGGAGGAGGAGAAAGAAAGGGAGGAGGAGAAAGAAAGGGAGGAGGAGAAAGAAAGGGAGGAGGAGAAAGAAAGGGAGGAGGAGAAAGAAAGGGAGGAGGAGAAAGAAAGGGAGGAGGAGAAAGAAAGGGAGGAGGAGAAAGAAAGGGAGGAGGAGAAAGAAAGGGAGGAGGAGAAAGAAAGGGAGGAGGAGAAAGAAAGGGAGGAGGAGAAAGAAAGGGAGGAGGAGAAAGAAAGGGAGGAGGAGACCCGGGATGATTAGAGCTCGTGATTAACGCAGCGTAACAAGCCAACGATCCACTTTCACGTGACGAACGACCATTTCCTCCCTCGCGCGCCTGATGCTCAGTTCGAGGTTCGTAGAAGGCATCGACGCATCCGACCTCGTGCTCGACGCTAATGACGGGCGGGCGAGCTGTGCCCCCCCCTTTTTTATTTGTGTGTGTGTGTGTGTGTGTGTGTGTGTGTGTGTGTGTGTGTGTGTGTGTGTGTGTGTGTGTGTGTGTGTGTGTGTGTGTGTGTGTGTGTGTGTGTGTGTGTGTGTGTGTGTGTGTGTGTGTGTGCGTGCGTGCGTGCGTGCGTGTGTGTGTGTGTATTATTAAGTGCAAACAAATAATTGTTTTCTTCACATGTGTGTGTTTGTCTCTTCTTCATTCTCTACCTCTATCCGTTTACCTGTCTGTCTGTTTAGCTATCTGCCTGCCTGCGTTCCTGTCTGTCTGTCTGTCGGTTAGGCTGAGTAGGGATTTTTTCAGGGGGGGGGGGGGGCGCCTTACTGTCTGACCCAACAATTCACTTACATTAGAAACTCTAGAAGCCTTAAGTAAGTTTGTATTTACGAACTTTCACGTCGGGAGGCTACGAACTTTGTGATAATGTATACTGCATTAACCCGAGGACAAGCAACGGTGTAATTAGCGATGAAATTTCAGTAAGAATGAATAAGTGTGTGTGTGTGTGTGTGTGTGTGTGTGTGTGTGTGTGTGTGTGTGTGTGTGTGTGTGTGTGAGTGAGTGAGTGAGTGAGTGAGTGAGTGAGTGAGTGAGTGAGTGAGTGAGTGCGTGCGTGCGCGTGCCTACGTGTGTGTGTGTGTGTACATGGACGTATGTGTGTGCGTGCGTTCGTGTGTGCGTATGCATGGACGAATGCGTGTGTCCGTTTGCGTGGGTAAACATCAGATACGAAGTACCTCAGCCACGCCTAAATGTTCCCCATATCTCTTTACCGCTAAACATCCCACCCCGCCCCGACCGCCCTCTGGTCTGCCCGCATACAATCGCCTCCCATTAATTCCTTAATCAAGCAGCCATAAATCATGGGGGCAAGTGAGCCATTACCGCCGCCGCCGCCACTCTCCCCGCGCCGATCAAACAACATTAACGAATAATTAATCCGTTAAGTGTGAGATGCGAGCGCCTTGGGTGAGGCCGATTTCGCGCCAAAAGAGCTCGGGTGTTCGCTCGGCTGCCCGTTTTCTGTGAATGCGTCGAAGGCTCAATTTGGGTCGTAATGGAATGGGGTTGTCGACCGCGTGAGGATGGGGCAGTGCGGGTCAATTCAGTTTCGTGTAAACATGAGGAAAAGAGGTGGTTTAGTGTGTCGTTTTATCCATAATCTGTCTGTCTGTCTGTCTTTTTGTCTCTCTCTCTCTCCCCCTTCCTCTCTCTCTGTCTCTGTCTGTCTGTCTGTCTCTGTTTCTCCCTCTCCCTCTTCCTCTTCCTCTCCCTCTCTCTTTCTCCCCCTCTCTCCCTCCTGTATATGTGCAAACCAACGTGTGTGATTGTACGTTCGTCCTCTATAATCTAAAACCTCTTTTCTCCTCTCTATCTTTATTTAAAGCTAATCTCAAGACGGAAAAAAACAAGACCCCACCTGACCCATCCCCCCCCCACCCGGCACCATCATCACCCCGACAACCCCTTCGTCAGCACCCGAGCGAGCGTCGGCCCCATTATCACCGCCGCCGCATTCCGTCATCAGCTGGGAGCAAGGACATCGCCGCTCATAATTAATTAACCAAGCGGGAGACTGACGAAATGCCCCTTATCAGTGAAGCATCTAAGAGTCAATAGGGCCTGACAAATGAATGGGATACTGACCCTAACGGCACCCCGCTATTAAGCCCCATTCCTTATTATCTGGTGGGACGCGCCGGGTCTAATCATTTCACTACCGAGGCGACATTTCGTTCCCCTCCTCCCCCAACCCCCTCAACCCCCACCCCCAACCCCTTCCCCACTAACCCCCCTTCCACTAATCTTAAAAAAAAAAACTCGTATAATGAAAGAAAGATTCGCCGAGAGAAGAAAAAGAATTAGTTGAAAAGATTGTTGATAAAAGGTGGAAAAGTGAAAAGAACAAAGTGAAGTATAGAGAGACATAATGAATAAACCGATGAAAGGAGGGGTAAGCTAAGAAAGAGAAATAGAACTAGAGAAAGAATGAAAAAAAAATATATAAATATAGGAGATAAAAAATATCGAAAATTCAAAAAATACAAAAGAAGACTGCATACAAACAGAAAATTAAATGAGAGACCGAGTACGAAGAGGAAGATAGACAAACGGAAAGAGACAATGCAACATCAAGCCATAACGAAAGACAATTAAGAAAGAACAAAGCCACATCAGGCAATAAACCAGAACAGCGGGAAGAGATAATGCAACGTCAAGCCATGAGCTGAAATATCCACAACCCGCGCATACCACCTCCTTCGGTATCACAAACGCCGATCGCACTCACATAGGACTTTTCCCCCAATAACAACAACCCCTCTTCTTCCTCTTCTTCTTCTTCTTCGTCTTCTTTATCATCATCCTCCTCTTCTTTTCTCTTCCTCTTCTTCTTCTTCTTCTTATTTCTCCTCCTCTTCCTCTTCTTTCTCCTCCTCCTCTTCCTTCTCCTTCTTTTCTTCTTCTTCTTCTCATCCTCCTCCTCCTCCTCTTCCTTCTCCTTCTACTTTTTTTCTTTTTCTTCTTCTTCTCCTTCTCCTTATCGTCTTCCTCTTCCTCTTCCTCTTCCTCTTCCTCTTCCTCCTCCTCCCTTCCCCCTCCTCCTCCTCCCTTCCCCCTCCTCCTCCTCCTCCTCCTCCCCCCCCCCCCCCCCCACACACACCTAGACCATCCGCAAAACTCCCTCCCGAGGATGCTTTTAATCAAGCTTTGTCCTTCGAGCCGCTTTTGATTTCCTATAATCGCCACGAGCTTTGTGATGTTCGAATTACAAGTAGTTGTTAAGTGTCATTAATCCTGCTCTAAGCCTACGCTATCAGGCGGGACCGCATAACTTCAGCACAAGAACGCCAATTACTGGTATTAAACTCGGGCCGGGAAGATGGAGGGGCTGCATTGGGGCGCTGGGGGTACACGGACGGAGAACCCCCCTGGCTGGTCTCCTCTTAGGTGTGAATAAGGGGAAATATACGAGACGGCCAGATAAACAGAACCGAGATGGGGGGAGGGATGGGGAGGGGGGTTGGGGGGTGAAGTTTGTGTTTTCCTTTTCTTCTTCTTTCCTTTGTTTATTTTCTCTTTTGGTCTTTCTGTTTGGTTTGTTCTGTCTTCTCTTCTCTTCTCTCTCTCTCTCTCTCATTTTTCTTCTCCCCTATTTACTTACATGTGTGGTGGGAGAATCATCTTCTTAAAGCAGCCAATCCTTACCTGTAAAAGAAATGAAATTTATAGATAAATGAATAAATAAATTCTCTCTCTCTCTCACTTTCCCATCCATTCTCTCTACTATTCACTCTCTATCTCTCATTTATTTTCTTTCTTATTTATTTCATCTTTCATTCATTCTTTCTGGTCTCTCTGAAGGTATGAATAAGGGAAATCAACGAGACAGCTAAACAAAACTGCTAATTTTTCCTGTTTCTTTCTTTTCTGTCAATCAGTCTATTCCTGCTCCCCCCTTTTTCTCTCTGTTTGTCTGTCAGTCTGTCTGTCTTCTCTCTCTCTCTCTCTGTTTGACTGTCTGTCTGTCTTTCTTCTCTCTCTCACAATCTTCCTCTTACTCAAAATAACACACACACACAAAATCAAACAAAACTGCCTGGCCATTTAATAAAGAATCGATATAAACCAAAAAGAATAAAAAAGAAAATAAATGAGCACCTCCCTTCCTTCTCCAGTAATAACCCAGAGAACAAGGAGATAGTGAGCAAAGTCAGTGATCATTTTCTTAAGTGAATCAGGACCTCAGCATCGGATATACTGTCAAAGTCCACGGCGCGCCCTCACTCATTAACCAGTCTCGGGGAACCTGTACACAATCAACAACCCCCTTGATTTATATGCTAAAAATAGTTCTCTTCCTTGATCTCCCTTTCCTCATATCTTTTTTTTCTCTCTCTTCTCCTTTCTCTCCTTTTCCTTCTCTTTCTTTTTTGATTCATTCTTCACGTTTTTGCCAACTCGCCTTTCTCCATCTCTCTTCCTTCACATACCAACAGCTCAAAAATCAATTATATTCCCCTATCACCACAGAAAAAACAAAAACAAAAGAAAAATAAGAAATGGAGTGAAAAAAGAGAGAGAAAAAAAAGAAGAAACAAAAGAAAGAAAGAAAGAAGGATGGAGGGAGGCTGGATAAAGCCCAGATTCCCTTAATGCGACGTCTGTGGCGCTGCGTCTTACGCCTCGGATTCGTGGTCATTAAGACTTTATCAGAATGAGAGCAATACTTCACACCCGGACGGAGGAGGGCAGACCGGTCTCA